CCCCTGCCGCTGACATTACTTTCCGAATGCAGGGGAAGAAATAAATAAATAATAAAGGAGGGGGGAACATGCTGCGAGGCGCTGGAGTGTCGGCTTTTACGGAGCGCTGTCAGTTCAGCCGAGCCTAGATTCACTTATAGGAAGGAACGTTTACTGCGGAGGTCTCGATCACCTGGCTCCCTCCTGTCACGGGTCCCCGGCTGCGCGTCGGCTGTGAAATGTGTTTAGAAACGCTCGGGAAGAAAATACAATTTGCTAATATCTGAGAACACTTCAAGGCCTATTGTGCAGCTCACGCGAAAAGGTTCTGTAACCCGTAGCAACCAGTCAGATGTGTCATTCCATTAGCCCACCTCACACTAGGCTGGTCAAAGATATTATCTGGTTGGCTGGCACGCCTTACCTCCGGATATTTATAGAGCTGTAGATGAAATACGATATCTCAGATTTCCAGAGAGGCCTTCAACTAAGCAACGTGTTGTTCATTTCCTTAAAGCTGATATAAAAGACACAAATGAATGCAGTGTAAGGGCCATAGTCTGACCTGGTGTCAGCTTTATGCAATCCCCCATACAGCAGAGCTCAGAGCATGAGAGGACGAAGCAGCACAGGGAGCCAATCAATTCATGGGCTGACAAGAAGCATGCTGATAGGATGAGAGAGCAGAGTGACAGAGAAATGAACTCATCAATGTGCTGCTTCTCCTTTCACTGTCCAGTTACAGGATAGGGGCCAGTCCGGGATGACCTGGGCTGAGGAAAGTGGTTGAATTATGTTGGCCATCAGACTGAGATCATCTAGGGGCTTCCACTAACCAACATGTTGTTCATTTCCATAAAATTGAACTATGGGAAGATATAATCCCACATACAGCAGAGCTCAGTGTGAGCAGCACAAGGAGCCAATCAATTCATGGGCTGAAAAGAAGAATGCTGAAAGGATGAGAGAGCAGAGTGACAGAGAGATGAACTCATCACTGTGCTGCTTCTCCTTTCACTGTCCAGTTACAGGATAGGGGCCAGTCCTGGATGACCTGAGCCGAGGAAAGTGGTTGAATTATGTTGGCCATCAGACTGAGATCATCTAGGGGCTTCCACTAAGAAACATGCTGTTGATTTCCATAAAATTAAACTATAGGAAAATATAAAAGAACATTGGACTGCAATGTAAGTGCCTAAATCTGGCCTGGTATCAGCCTCTTGCAGTCCCCCCTACAGCAGAGCTCAGAGTGTGAGCAGCACAAGGAGCCAATCAATTCATGGACTGACAAGAAGCACGTTGATAGGATGAGAGAGCAGAGTGACAGAGAGATGAGATTATCACTCTGCTGCTTCTCCTTTCACTGTCCAGTCACAGGCTGGGGGACAGTCCAGGATGACTTGGGTTCAGAGGGAGGTGGATGAATGATGCTGGCCATTAGGCTGAAGACATCTAAAGGCTTCCACTAAGCAACATGTCATTCATTTCCATGAAGTTGAACTCAGATATAAAAGAGCATTTGACTGCAATGTAAGTGCCTAAATTTGTCCTGGTTTCAGCCTTTTGCAATCCCCCATACAGCAGAGCTCAGATTGTGAGCAGCACTAGGAGCCAATCAATTCATGGGCTGAAAAGAAGCACGCTGATAGGATGAGAGAGCAGAGTGACAGAGAGATGAGCTCATCACTGTGCTGCTTCTCCTTTCACTTTACAATCACAGGCTGGGGGCCAGTCCAGGATGACCTGGGCTCAGAGGGAGGTGGTTGAATGATGCTGGCCATCAGACTGAGGACGTTCAAAGGCTTCCACTAAGCAACATGTCATTCATTTCCATAAAGCTGAACTCAGATATAAAAGAACATTTGAATGCGATGTAAGTGCCTAAATCTGGCCTGGTATCAGCCTCTTGCAGTCCCCCCTACATCAGAGCTCAGAGTGTGAGCAGCACAAGGAGCCAATCAATTCATGGGCTGACGAGAAGCATGTTGATATGACAAGAGAGCAGAGTGACAGAAAGGTGAACTCATCACTGTGCTACTTCTCCTTTCACTGTCCAGTCACGGGATAGGGGCCAGTCCGGGATGACTTGGGCCCATAGGAAAGTGGTTGAATGATGTTGGCCATCAGACTGAGATCATCTAGGGGCTTCCACTAAGCAACATGTTGTTCATTTCCATAAAACTGAACTATAGAAAGATATAAAAGAACCTTTGACTGCAATATAAGTGCCTAAATCTGGCCTGGTATCAGCCTCTTGCCCCCCCCCCCCCCCCCCCCCATACAGCAGAGCTAAGAATGTGAGCAGCACAAGGAGCCAATCAGTTCATGGGCTGAAAAGAAGCATGCTGATGGCACATGAAAGCAGAGTGACAGAGAGATGAGCTCATCACTGTGCTGCTTCAATCTATCCCACTCTGCTGCATGCTTGTAAGGGGTGCTTATAAAGTTTGGTGCTGTTCTTTGCACCATAGAACAGACTGTATGCCCAAAAGGTTGTGGAAACCCCTAGCTATGCAGCCAAAATGAGTGTGGGCCACCCTCCAATTTATTGAGTTCAGCTCTTTCTGGTGAGTGGTACTGTAAATGCTAAAGCATACACAGATATTTTAGACTATTGTGGAAGGCCCATTTCTGTTTCAGCATGTCTGCCCCTCTGTACACTGGGCTGGGCGCTGCGGGGTGGCCCAGGGTAAGGGGATCTCTCAGACCGGACCAGGCTGTGTGCATCCTTAAGGGGACCTCCGATTGACCACATTACTTATAAATGCGTATTAATATTACGCATCTGGTGAGTGCGTAATCTTGACACATTCCTGACACGCCACCGAGTGGTCGTTGTGGCATGTGGGGCGCTTGCCTTGAGGTTGTTCTCATCTGGATCTTCACATTGTCACTTTGTGGACATTGGTATTGTCGCTTATATCACTTCCACCTGGCAGTACTAGGGTCGTTGGTTCAAATACCAGCCACGGCACCACCTGCCTGGAGTTTTGCATGTTCTCCCTGTGCCTGCGTGGGTTTCCTCCAGGTACTCCGGTTTCCTCCAACACTCAAAAGACATGCTGGTAAGTTAATTGGATCCTGTCTAAATTGGCCCTTGTATGTGTACGTATGAATGTGAGTTAGGGACCTTAGATTGTACGCCCCTTGAGGGTTAGGGACTGATGTGAATGTACAATATAAATGTAAAGTGCTGCGTAAATTGACGGCGCTATATAAGTACCTGAAATAAATAAATAACCAGTTCCATAGTTTGGTAAGTTTGGTGTGGAGGAACTCGACTGTCCTGCACCTTACTGAACACCGCTGGGATGAGTTGGAAGGCCAATTGCAATCCAGGTCTCCTCATCCAACATTAGTACTAGAGATGAGCGAATCGAACTTGGCGAAGTGGAATTCGTTTCGAATATTGGGAAATATTCGATTCGCGCCGAATCCGAAAATTAGCCAACTTCGGATGCACGAATCGAATTTTCCCAAAAATGGCGGCGACATGTGTGGCGACGGAGCGGGGATCTCTGGGAAGGCGCGCAGACAAGGCGCACTGACCCATAATGCATTCATTCATGACATGTGATCGCATTAGCCAATCAGCAGCCAGCCAGCCAGCACTGTGTAATGATGGAGCTATAAATTGCGGCCATCTTACAATTCTCCATTAGCCTCCGGTCATTCAAGAGAGACAGACATATCTGTATTAGGGACAGAGTTAGGGCCAGAGAGACTTTAGGGCCACAGAATCGTTACTTAGGGACACAGAATCGTTACTTAGGGACACAGAATTGTTACTCAGGAACACAGAATTGTTACTCAGGGACAGACACAGAATTGTTACTGAGGGACACAGAATTGTTACTGAGGGACACAGAATCGTTACTTAGGGACACAGAATCGTTACTCAGGGACACAGAATTGTTACTCAGGAACACAGAATTGTTACTCAGGGACAGACACAGAATTGTTACTGAGGGACACAGAATTGTTACTGAGGGACACAGAATTGTTACTCAGGGACACAGAATTGTTACTGAGGGACACAGAATTGTTACTGAGGGACACAGAATTGTTACTCAGGGACAGACACAGAATTGTTACTGAGGGACACAGAATTGTTACTGAGGGACACAGAATTGTTACTCAGGGACACAGAATTGTTACTCAGGGACAGACACAGAATTGTTACTGAGGGACACAGAATTGTTACTGAGGGACACAGAATTGTTACTCAGGGACACAGAATTGTTACTCAGGGACAGACACAGAATTGTTACTGAGGGACACAGAATTGTTACTGAGGGACACAGAATTGTTACTCAGGGACACAGAATTGTTACTCAGGGACAGACACAGAATTGTTACTCAGGGACACAGAATTGTTACTCAGGGACACAGAATCGTTACTGAGGGACACAGAATCGTTACTCAGGGACACAGAATCGTTACTCAGGGACACAGAATTGTTACTCAGGGACACAGAATCGTTACTCAGGGACACAGAATTGTTACTCAGGGACGGACACAGAATTGTTACTCAGGGACAGACACAGAATTGTTACTCAGGGACACAGAATTGTTACTCAGGGACACAGAATTGTTACTGAGGGACACAGAATTGTTACTCAGGGACACAGAATTGTTACTCAGGGACACAGAATTGTTACTCAGGGACAGACACAGAATTGTTACTCAGGGACACAGAATTGTTACTCAGGGACACAGAATTGTTACTCAGGGACACAGAATTGTTACTGAGGGACACAGAATCGTTACTCAGGGACACAGAATTGCTACTCAGGGACACAGAATTGTTACTCAGGGACACAGAATTGCTACTCAGGGACACAGAATTGTTACTCAGGGACACAGAATTGTTACTCAGGGACACAGAATCGTTACTGAGGGACACAGAATCGTTACTCAGGGACACAGAATCGTTACTCAGGGACACAGAATTGTTACTCAGGGACACAGAATTGTTTACTCAGGAACACAGAATCGTTACTCAGGGACACAGAATCGTTACTGAGGGACACAGAATTGTTACTCAGGGACACAGAATTGTTACTCAGGGACACAGAATCGTTACTGAGGGACACAGAATCGTTACTCAGGGACACAGAATCGTTACTCAGGGACACAGAATCGTTACTCAGGGACACAGAATCGTTACTGAGGGACACAGAATCGTTACTGAGGGACACAGAATCGTTACTGAGGGACACAGAATCGTTACTCAGGGACACAGAATCGTTACTCAGGGACACAGAATCGTTACTGAGGGACACAAAATTGTTACTCAGGGACACAGAATTGTTACTCAGGGACACAGAGAATCGTTACTCAGGGACACAGAATCGTTACTCAGGGACACAGAATCGTTACTGAGGGACACAGAATCGTTACTGAGGGACACAGAATCGTTACTCAGGGACACAGAATTGTTACTCAGTGACACAGAATCGTTACTCAGGGACACAGAATTGTTACTCAGGGGACACAGAATTGTTACTCAGGGACACAGAATCGTTACTCAGGGACACAGAATCGTTGAATTAAAGAGTATGTCAGACAACACGCAGAGGAGTGGCAGAGGAGGCAATGTTTCAGGAGCGAGCTCCCGGTGTCATCCAGCGGTCGTGTCTCCACCGACAACCCTGCCGTCATCGATTGGTTGGCTCGGTCGTCTTCCTCTTCCCAGGTCACCTCTGACACTACAGCCAACGGTCGGTGGGTACGTCAGACACAACCGTTAGTTGGCATGGCCCGGGGAGCAAGCCCACTGAAATCACGTGTCCTCTACCTGCCCCTGTCCTTTGGTGTTCCCTCACCAAGCGAAGTATCGCATGCTGTGGGCTCGAGCCCCACTGTACAGTGAGGAAGAGCTAACAGAGGGCGGTCAGGAACGGGGGAGACATCCGCCTCTTCAGCAGCCAGGCGAAGAAGTACTGGCGAGGAGAGTGGCTCGGTAGCCGGTCTAGAGACAGGTCTGTCTCCTGACCCACACGCAGCCGAGGGGGCTAGTAGTGAGGCGGAGACCCTAATTGATGATGATGAGGCTGATCGCACTTGGCAGCCTCGTCGTCATCTGCCAGGCCCGTAATCTGCCATGGGGCCCCCGTACCGACTCCTCATGCTGCTGCCAGGCCCGTAATCTGTCATGGGCCCCTGTACCGCCTCCTCATGCTGCTGCCAGGTCCAGAGTGTGTCATGGGTCCCTGTACGGCCTCCCATTGCTGCTGTCTCCATCGCCACACTCTGCCATGTGCCACTTTCAGGTCTCCTCACACTGCTGGTGGGTTCCATTTTGTCATAGGGTGCTGGCAGATTACGGGCCTCCCATTGCTGCTGCCAGGGCCCGTAATCTGTCATGGGCCCCTGTACCGCCTCCTCATGCTGCTGCCAGGTCCAGAGTGTGTCATGGGTCCCTGTACCGCCTCCTCATGCTGCTGCCAGGTCCAGAGTGTCTCATGGGTCCCTGTACGGCCTCCCATTGCTTGCTGTCTCCATCGCCACACTCTGCCATGTGCCACTTTCAGGTCTCCTCACACTGCTGGTGGGTTCCATTTTGTCATAGGGTGCTGGCAGATTACGGGCCTCCCATTGCTGCTGCCAGGCCCGTAATCTGTCATGGGCCCCTGTACCGCCTCCTCATGCTGCTGCCAGGTCCAGAGTCTCTCATGGGTCCCTGTACGGCCTCCCATTGCTGCTGTCTCCATCGCCACACTCTGCCATGTGCCACTTTCAGGTCTCCTCACACTGCTGGTGGGTTTCCATTTTGTCATAGGGTGCTGGCAGATTACGGGCCTCCCATTGCTGCTGCCAGGCCCGTAATCTGTCATGGGCCCCTGTACCCGCCTCCTCATGCTGCTGCCAGGTCCAGAGTGTGTCATGGGTCCCTGTACCACCTCCTCATGCTGCTGCCAGGTCCAGAGTGTCTCATGGGTACCTGTACGGCCTCCCATTGCTGCTGTCTCCATCGCCACACTCTGCCATGTGCCACTTTCAGGTCTCCTCACACTGCTGGTGGGTTCCATTTTGTCATAGGGTGCTGGCAGATTACGGGCCTCCCATTGCTGCCGCCAAGGCCCGTAATCTGTCATGGGTCCCTGTACCGCCTCCTCATGCTGCTGCAGGTCCAGAGTGTGTCATGGGTCCCTGTACGGCCTCCCATTTCTGCTGTCTCCATCGCCACACTCTGCCATGTGCCACTTTCAGGTCTCCTCACACTGCTGGTGGGTTTCATTTTGTCATAGGGTGCTGGCAGATTACGGGCCTCCCATTGCTGCTTCCAGGCCCGTAATCTGCCATGGGCCCCCGTACCGACTCCTCATGCTGTGACGTTGCAAACAAGGTGGAATTCAACCCTACATATGTTAGACCGCCTTTACGAACAGCGAAAAGGCCATCACCGATTTCTGATGTTACAAGGGATAAAGGTACTCCCCTGTGTAACTTAGATGTCAGCCATTGGCAGCTCATGCGTGACACCTGCCGCTTGCTTAGGCCCTTTGAGGAGGCCACGCTATTCGTGAGTCGGCAGGACTATGGGATGAACGACGTCATTCCTCTGTTGCAAGTCCTGGAACAAATGCTGTTAACAATGGCTGGTCAGGGTGCGGTAGACGTGGCGCACAGATCTCAACGCCCACATGACCCCTGTGGGGGCAGGACAGGAAGAAGAGGAGGAGGTAGAGGAGGATATTGGTGCTCAGGAATTATTGAGTGAAATGGGTGGTTTTTCCACTCAGCGGACAGGAGTGGAGGAGCAGGAGCATCTGTAGAGGAGGAGGAGGAGACAGAGGACCCTGACGCACCGTGGCAGTATGCTGTGGGAGAATGGAGGCAGGGAGTCCCTCGCATTTCTTTGGCACAAATGGCCCATAGCATGCTCGGTTGCTTTCGTAGCGACAGTCACCGAATAATAACCATCAGACAGAGGGATGACTTTTGGCTGTCCACCTTGTTGGACCCTCGCTACCGTTCAAAAATGGTGGCCTTTTTCACACTGCTGAGAGGAGAGGCCAAAATAACGTACTATAAAAAACCACCTATGTAGTCAGTTGGTCTCTGCCTTTCTGCGCCAACGTCCATCCTCAGACACTGTGGGCCCTGTGCGCTCGCTTTCGCTGCTGCATGCAGCAGGGGAGGGGTGGGGTGGTAGAAGCAGTGGCAGCTCCACCAGCAGCGGTCTGCCTCAGTCTGCAGTCGATGATGAGTAGCTTTCTTCACCAAGCGCAGTGAGGAGGAAACTACTAACCAGCCGCAGCAGCAGCTGCATCAGGTGGACCTGGAGCAGGACCTCAAACAACAGGCTTGGGCCTACTTGGGGACAGCACCCCTGCCAACCGAGGGTAGACAATCCCCTTGACTACTGGGCAACGAAACTTGACCTTTGGCCCCAACTAGCTGAATTTGCCCTTGAAAGGCTGTCATGCCGGCCAGTAGCGTGGCATCGAAGCGCGGTGTTTATAGTGCGGCAGGAGGTATTGTAACTCCGCGGAGGACACGACTGTCCACCCAAAGTGTGGAGAGACTCACGTTTGTGAAAATGAATCAGGCGTGGATTAGTCTGGATTTCAAACCACCAGTTCCTGACACACAACTGACTAAATCTGCCATGAATCATGCCCCAAAAACATGTTATTTATTTTTTAACATAGGCCTCTGTATGGCCTTCAATTTAAGCTGCTTACGCTTCGCCACTCTGCCATGGGCCCCCTGTACCGCCTCCTCTTGCTGCTGCCAGGTCCAGAGTGTGTCATGGGTCCCTGTACGGCCTCCCATTGCTGCTGTCTCCATCGCCACACTCTGCCATGTGCCACTTTCAGGTCTCCTCACACTGCTGTGATGGGTTCCATTTTGTCATAGGGTGCTGGCAGATTACGGGCCTCCCATGCTGCTGCCAGCACCCCGTAATCTGCCATGGGCCCCCGTACCGCCTCCTCATGCTGTTGCCAGGTCCAGAGTGTCTCATGGGTCCCCTGTACGGCCTCCCATTGCTGCTGTCTCATCGCCCCAACATCGCCACACTCTGAGCCATGTGCCCACTTTCAGGTCTCCTCCCACTAAATTTTGGGGGGCTGGGTGGGTTTTCCATTTTGTCATAGGTGCTGGGATTACGCCTTGGGCTGCTGGCAGACCCGAAATACGGGTTTCCCCCTTAATCAGTCCATTGCTGCTCTGCTCCAGAGTCCAGAGTGGGGGGGGTGGGGTCATGGGTCCCTGTACGGGCCTAAAAATTTTTTTCTTTTTTTTTTTTCTTTTTTTTCATTTTGCTGCGTCTCCATCGCCACACTCTGCCCATGGGCCACCCGTATACCGACTCCTCATGCTGCTGCCAGGCCCGTAATCTGTCATGGGCCCCTGTACCGCCTCCCTCATGCTGCTGCCAGGTCCAGAGTCTCTCATGGGGTCCCTGTACGGCATCCCATTGCTGCTGTCTCCATCGCCACACTCTGCCATGTGCCACTTTCATCAGGTCTCCTCACACTGCTGGTGGGTTCCATTTTGTCATAGGGTGCTGGCAGATTACGGGCCTCCCATTGCTGCTTGCCAGGCCCGTAATCTGCCATGGGGCCCCCGTACCGCCTCCTTCATGGCTGCTGCCAGGTCCAGAGTGTCTCATGGGTCCCTGTACGGGCCCTCACATTGCTGCTGTCTGCCATCGCCACACTCTGCACTGTGCCACTTTCTAGGTATCCTCACACTGCTGGTGGGTTCCATTTTGTACTTTAGGGTGCTGGCAGATTAGGGCCTCCATTGCTGCTGCCAGGCCCGTAATCTGGACATGGGCACGTACCGACCCCCAGCTGCCCAGCCCTAATCTTTACCGCCTCCTCATGCTGCTGCCAGGTCCTGAGTGTCTCATGGGTACCTGTAAGAAAAAATTACGGCCTCCCATTGCTGCTGTCTCCATCGCCACACTCTGCCATGTGCCACTTTCAGGTCTCTTAACACTGCTGGTGGGTTCCATTTTTGGTCATAGGGTGCTGGCAGATTACGGGCCTCCCATTGCTGCTGCCAGGCCCGTAATCTAGCCATGGGCCCCCGTACCGACTCCTCATGCTGTGCCAGGCCCGTTATCTGTCATGGGCCCCTGTACCGCCTCCTCATGCTGCTGCACAGGTCCAGAGTCTTCTCATGGGTCCCTGTACGGCCTCACCCATTGCTGCTGTCTCCATCGCCACACTCTGCCAATGTGCCACTTTTCAGGTCTCCTCACACTGCTGGTGGGTTCCATTTTGTCTTAGGGTTGCTGGCCAGATTACGGGCCTTTCCCATTGCTGCTGCCAGGCCCGTAATCTGCAATGGGCCCCCGTACCGCCTCCTCATGCTGCTGCAGGTCCAGAGTGTCTCATGGGTCCCTGTACGGCTCCCATTGCTGCTGTCTCTCCATCGCCACATCTCTTGCCATGTGACCCACTTTCAGGTCTCCTCACACTGGCTGGTGGGGTTCCATTTTGTTCATAGGGTGCTGGCGATTTACGGGCCTTCTCCATTGCTGCTGACCAGGCCCGTAATCTGACATGGGCCCCCGTACGGCGCCTCCTCATGCTGCTGCCAGGTCCGGAACCTTGAGTGTCCTCATGGGTACCTGGTACGGCCCTCCCATTGCTGCTGTCTCCATCGCACACTCTTGCCTTGTGCCACTTTCAGGTCTCTTCACACTGCTGGTGGGTTCCATTTTGTCATAGGGTGGCTGGCAGATTTACGGGCCTCCCATTGCTGCTGCCAGGCCCGTAATCTGCCATGGGCCCCCGTACCGACTCCTCATGCTGCTGCCAGGCCCGTTATTCTGTTCATTGGGCCCCTGTTCCGCCTACCTCATGCTGCTGCCAGGGGTCCAGAGTCTCTCATGGGTTCCCTGTACGGCCTCCCATGCTGCTGTCTCCATCGCCAAACTTCTGCCATTTGTGCCACTTTCAGGTCTTCTCACACTGCTGTGGTGGGTTCCATTTTGTCATAGGGTGCTGGCAGATTACGGGCCTCCCATTGTGCTGCCAGGCCCGTAATCTGCCATGGGCCCCCGTACCGCCTCCTCATGCTGCTGCCAGGTCCAGAGTGTCTCATGGGTCCCTGTACGGCCTCCCATTGCTTGACTGTCTCCATCGCCCACCACTCTGCCATGTGCCACTTTCAGGTCTCCTCACACTGCTGGTGGGTTCCATTTTGTCATAGGGTGCTGGCAGAATTACGGGCCTCCCATTGCTGCTGCCAGGCCCGTAATCTGCCATGGGCCCCCCGTTACCGCCTCCCTCATGCTGCTGCAGGTCCAGGGTGTCTCATGTGGTACCTGTACGGCGCTACCCATTGTGATTGTCTCCATTGCCACACTCTGCCATGTGCCACTTTCAGGCTACTTCACACTGCTGGTGGGATTCCATTTTGTGACTATAGGGTGCTGGCAGATTACGGGCCTCCCATTGCTGCTGCCCAGGCCCGTAATCTGCCATGGGCCCCCCGTACCGACTCCTCTTGCTGCTGCCAGGCCCGTAATCTGTCATGGGCCCCTGTACCGCCTCTCCTCATGCTGCTGCCAGGTCCAGAGTGTCTCATGGGTCCCTGTTACGGCCTACCATTGCTGCTGTCTCCATCGCCACACACTCTGCCATGTCGCTCGGCCACTTTCAGGTCTACTCACACAGCGGTGGGTTCCATTTTGTCATAGGGTGCTGGCAGATTTACGGGCCTCCCATTGCTGCTGCCAGGCCCGTAATCTGCCATGGGCCCCCCGTACCGCCTCCTCATGCTGCTGCCAGGTCCAGAGTGTCTCATGGGTCCCTGTTACGGCCTCCCATTGCTACTGTCTCCTCATCGCCCACTCTGCCATGTGCCACTTTCAGGTCTCCTCACACTGCTGGTGGGTTCCATTTTGTCATAGGGTGCTGGCAGATTACGGGCCTCCCATTGGCTGCTGCCAGGCCCGTAATCTGACATGGGCCCCCGTACCGCCTCCTCCATGCTGCTGCCAGGTCCAGGAGTGTCTCATGGGTCCCTGTACGGCCTCCCATTGCTGCTGTCTCCATCGCCCACACTCTGCCATGTGCCACTTTCAGGTCTCCTCACACTGCTGGTGGGTTCACATTTTGTCATAGGGTGATGGCAGATTACGGGCCTCCCATTGCTGCTGCCAGGC